CGGGGGGGGGGGGGGGGGGGGACTATCAAAACCAAAAACATTGATGCAACGTTTCGACCTCCCCATTTGTCTGATCACGCCAATACTGTTTATGAACCATCCATCGCATTTTTTCGATTTGTCTTCCTTAGTCACATCATTTCGGCGGTCCATCATCGATCTTCCATTCTTGTATGTGTGTTAGCAATTGTGATCATAGATTTAGAATCTTGTTTATTTCTTAAATAATATATTTAGACTTTTGACCGAATAAATCTCCAAATTCCGAAAACAAAACAACGTGCCATCTCGATATCTTTGATATATATGATATGAGTTTATTTCAAAATCAAACTCTTATTGGATTTTTTTTAATAGAAAATCCAAATTTTTGTCTCGAAATATAATTGGGGATCAAAATCTCATGCTTGCTTGAAATGTGTAAGATTACTTGTTGTCCTTTGCGTCTAATTAGTAATTGCCAACAAAGTTTGCCTTAGCCTTCCACCAATTTTTAATTAGCGGTTGTACATGTAGATTCACACAAATACACACGTAAATGAGTTGGCATGCATTACTTTAAATATAAATACACACGTATACACGTATATATACGTCAAGTCTTAGTCCCTTTTTTTCCTGCAAAAAAAAATATATAGTGGTGAATCTGGTGATACCATTTCTCAAGTAAAGAAAACATCACAACAGAGGAATGAAGGTATTGTCGCTATTAACATGACAAAAATGAAGTGAAATAATTTCAATTAGAGAACATTTTAGGACAGAAAGTGGACAAAATCATTTAGGGAATAAAAATTATATCCAGATACATATTAATATACATATACAAATGTACGTGTCTAGCAATGATGTCGATGTAACAATGAAAAAAAAAAGTTAATTATAAAATGTCGTCGATGTTGGCATGCATGCAGGATTTAGTGTATTAATTAAATTTTGATTTAGAGACATTCCGTTACGGAAAAGCCAAAAAAAAATCACATGGGTAGTTGATTTTTTTAAGAAACAAAGAAATGATTCTATTTTTTTTTTTCAAATTGAAAGTTTACGATTTTATAGTTTTATATTTTGTATTATTAAATTAAATATTTTTTTTTTTGGTATAAGTCGAGTACACCTCATGCCCATCTGTTCCCTGCAATTATGTCCGTTTAATATCTTTGGTTTTATAAAACCGTCCAAAGTGGCAAATCCTCTCCGCTCACACCTTCCGTTTCTTCTTATTTATCTCTTCTTTAAGTATTTTTACAATAAAATAAATAGATGAAATTAGTATAAAAAAATAGTATTATAGCATTAAAACAAATCAAAATTCGATTCGAAATAATCTTGTGAGGATAATCGGATGTAATGTTTTATTTTTTTTTCACCAAAAGAATATAACCTATGATTAAAAACATTTTAAAACCAAAATTTACGATGTTAACCAACTATAAAAAAAATTCAAATTTGGAAAAAAAAAGTTTGCTCATATATTGCTGTAATATGGATGTGTAATATCTGTAGATATATGTGAAATATAATAGATTTTAATAACATATCATTTAAATTTTATGGTTTAGTAATTCGTATACTAATCATATCTCACTTTTAGTTATTATATAGTTTTCATCATTTCGATATATAAAACCAATTTGTGTAGAGAACTCTAAAAATATTTTCTTAATTAATAAAATTTTATTTCATAAAAAAATAAATTTCACAAAAATGTGTAAACTTTTGTGGGGAATGCAACCTGTAATTTAAAAAAATATTAAAAATTAAATTGAATATTTGAAAAGAGATTCTTGGTGTATCATCTTTGTATCTATTCAATGATTCCAAATGTAAATTTTAAAACAAAAAGGCATGTTGAAGTACAGACACGATGACACAGTCTTATATGAGAATGTCCATGTTCCATGTGTTTTTTAAAATTTTATTTATGGTTATTTGAAAAAGAAATTATCACTTCCCATGCAAGGGAACCCCAGAAAAGAAAAAGAAAAGTAATTAACAGATTAATATTTATAAATACCAAAAAAAATAATATTTATAAATATACACCCTGACAGTCTACGTCGATTTATAGTGAGAAATGATGATGGCAAATTTTTAGATATTTATTTTAGTTTTTGTATATATCAAAGAATCATTGTTTAATTTAAATCATAAATTTTTTATATTAATATTATAAAAAAATATAATTTTATTTAAAAAAATTATTACATTGTAAACCATTATATCAAACAAATCTCCATCAAAAATTAAAATCCAAAAATGTGAAAATTTCAATAAATTCACGATATTTGCTTGAGAAAATTGAGATATTTTCACTACAAAAATATTTGTTTTACTTTTTTATAAATACCAAAAACTAATTGATTAATGAAAATTTTGAAATTGTTATATCAATGTTGTACATAAATATATAAAAATCTCGTTCACATTATTATTTTTACCTTATAAACTAATATTTTGATTAAAAAAAGATCTCTCCTAAAAAATTAATCTATAAATTAAAATTTTCATATATCGTTATGAGATATTTGCGCTGTAAACAATAGATATTTGGATATATTAAATGTTTATATATAGATATATATCTAAAAATAATTATTTCAATAAAATATAAATTATGATATATATATATATATTATAATAAACTATGGATTTTTAGAAAAAAAAATGTTCTCCTATAATAATAAAAATATTAATTTGAAAAACTAAAAAAAAATTATATATTTTAATTTCTTAGGTTAAATTTTTTTATATCTATATATACACTTTAAAAATCTGCTCACACTAATAATTATAACATGGTAAATTAAAATAAGTATTTTAAGATTAAAATGGCTTTCGTAAACAAATCTACAGATTTGAGGAAACTTACTAACTGTTATATATTTTAAGAAACTTGAAATATTTGCACAATACACAGTCAACATTTCGTTTTAATTACATATATGACCAAAATTACTTTCAAAACCTATTTTTCTATGTTAAAAAGATATTTTTCTTTAAAAGCAATTCTTTCACATCAATATTATTATATTGTAAAACGGAAATTTGAGAAAAGAATCTATCCGGTATAGATATAAATCTAAAAATTTGTAAAAATTTAAAAATTTATTGTATCATTTTGAGAAAATCGAGATATTTACACTATAAACAATTGAAATTCTAAGATATTTACTTTATTTATATATAAGTAGTTTTTTTTAATTTAAATGGCTATTTTTTACATGTATCGTATTAAACCATTATTTTGAAAAGAAAATCTCTAGTGAAAATACAAATTTATAAATTTGAAATATTTAAATATATATACACAAACAGCTCTTCGGCTCTTGGACATTTAATTTGGGCGTATGCAAACAACAACAAAGAAAAGGACAAAAAAATATCAAATTTAGTATCATTATATTATTACAAGATAATTATGTGGATCCAGACAGGGGAAAAAAACTAAATTCTGATTAAAAGTGCTGAAGACAATTTCTTTTTATAGAACACCCAAAAGAAATCGTATCGCAATCATATGAATCAAGAAAAAAATGTCGAGTTATCACACCATAATTAATTTTCTAATAGAGAAAAACTCTTTCGTTGACCCTTAGCTCTCCTCCAATGGCGGCCCCAACGCCGGTGGCTTTGCCTCTCTCTCTCTATATATATATATATATGTGTGTGTATCTGAGAAGCTCAAATAGCTCAGCAAGCAAATAGTCCAAAAAGAAACAAGATAAGAGGAAACCAAACTAGAAAAAACAAAAAAAAAACATTTAAAGCTGAAAATAAAGAGAGAAAAAAGGGGAAAAAAATCGCCTTTTTAACACCTCATTCCCTCTTTCTCCGGCACTCGTATAACGAAAACACGACGCACACCAAAGGAGAAGAAAGACCCATTTGGTTCTTCCTCGCCTCTCGGTTCTCTGCTGTTTCCTTCTGGTGTTCCCACAATGGAGGATGAGACCACCTGGTTGAGCCCCAAGGCTGTGCTTCTGTCTCTAATGGTGGGTTTTGTAGTGGCGAAGGGCATGTCCATTCTTTGGTGGAGACCGAGAAAGATCGAAGAACATTTCTCGAGACAGGGGATTCGCGGACCTCCTTATCACTTCTTCATCGGCAATGTCAGAGAACTTTCCGGAATGATGCTCAAAGCTTCTTCACACCCCATGCCTTTCTCCCACAATATTCTTCCCAGGGTTCTTTCGTTTTACCACCACTGGAGGAAAATCTATGGTAAGTAATCTCTGTTCTCTGTCTTGAGTTCCCACACCCAGGAAAAGAAAAACCCACAACTTTTCATCGAAATTTCACAGCTTTTTCCCCCTTTTTTTTTCTCTGCTGATCTTTCTTGCTTCTGGCGTTTCATAATTTGGATACTCTGTTTTCTGTTTTCGTTAGATTCTGAGGAAAAAAAAACGATGATTCTCTTCGTTTTTGGAGAAACGGGTGAAACGAATTCACAATTCAATCTTTTTTGTTTTTGGTAATGAATTCATAATTCAATCTTGGTTCTTACAAAGATTCATTTGTTCCATTTTCCCTTGGTGACTTTGTAACAGTTTCTTCTCTGCTCATTTAATGCCTTGCGGATTCAGTTCTTTCTGGGTTTTTGGGTTTCTTGATGTTCAAGTTCGGAATCTTTTTTGGGTGATTGAGGGAAATTTTCGAAACCCGAAAAATTTAAAACTTGGTTTTCTGTGGCCGGGGTCTTTGTGTTTTGTCTGATTCCCTCTCTCAAATGAAATATAATGTGTTTTTTTTTTTCAAACTCATGTATTGCAGTGGATTTTTGTTTTTGTGTTTTATTATCCATGAATTTAAATTTAATCTCTTTTTTTTTTTTCAATTTTGGTGTGTTATGATCAAATTATGGTGTCAGTACATTGATGGGAAAATGAACTCCTTTCTTTTCTTATGGGAGTAGTCATCAATTTTTTTTTTCTGTTTTCTGTTGTCTTCTTCTTCGGTCATTTCAAATATCAAAACACTATGCCCCTTTGGATTTATTATAAAACCCACAAAAAAATGAAATTAATTCGACCAATGTGTAAACGTTCCATCTTTTTGCAAAGTTTCCTACTTCAGGATCTGTTTATTGTCACAGTCCTTTTGACACCAGTCAATGTTTTTACACACACTGATTATTGTTTCCGATTTCGATTCTGGTTTCAGGTTCGACATTTCTGGTTTGGTTCGGACCAACTGTCCGGTTAACGGTTGCCGATCCCGATCTGATCAGAGAAGTTTTCTCGAAATCATTCTACGAGAAAAACGAAACTCACCCACTCGTTAAACAGCTCGAAGGCGATGGACTTCTCAGTCTCAAAGGTGAAAAATGGGCTCGTCATCGGAAAATCATCAGCCCGACATTTCACATGGAAAACCTCAAAGTAAAACGACTCGATTTTCGATTTTTCGGTTGTAAATTCGAAAATGGGTTTTCCCAAAACCCCAGATTTCATCGACCCATGACGCAAATCTTCCATTTTTATTCCTTTAGTTGCTCGTCCCTGTGGTAGCGAAGAGCGTAACGGATATGGTCGAGAAATGGTCGGATACACTGTCGGAATCCGGCGAGATCGAGATTGATGTCTACGAATGGTTTCAGATTCTGACAGAAGATGTAATAACGAGAGCAGCTTTTGGAAGTAGCTACGAAGATGGACGGGCAATTTTCAGATTACAAGCTCAGCAGATGCTTCTCTGTGCAGAAGCTTTTCAGAAAGTGTTCGTCCCCGGCTACAGGTAAATCCAAACAACCCACCTGAGATTCGAATTCCGGCGACCAATCGTCTTTTTCCGGTGGGTAGGTTTTTTCCGACGAAGAGGAACATAAGCTCGTGGACGATCGACAAGGAGATAAGGAAGTTGCTGGTGAAGCTGGTAGAGCGGCGGAGGACGAGCTCCGGCGGACAGACGGCGGCGAAGGATTTGTTGGGGCTAATGTTAGAGGCGTCGAAGTCGTCGGAGAATGTGACGGTGAACGACATAGTGGAGGAGTGCAAGACCTTCTTCTTCGCCGGCAAACAGACAACGTCGAACTTGCTGACGTGGACGACCATCTTGCTGTCCATGCACCCGGAGTGGCAGGCCAAGGCACGTGATGAGGTTCTCAGGGTCTGCGGCTCACGTGATGTCCCCACCAAAGACGACGTCGTTAAGCTCAAGACGGTGCGTTTCCCTCTCTCTTCTTTTGAGAATTTTTTGTAATCCCTTTTTTAAGAATTGTTTTTTTGGAAACAAATACATATTTTAAGAAGTTAACGGAAAAAATAATTTAAAGAGAATTGAAAGGATGAAAAAGGTAATTATAAAAAAAAACACATTTTTAGCCAATGAAAAAGGCAATTTCTCCTAAATTTCACATTAATCGAGATAGTATGTTGCATAAAACATTGCATATACCTCTAAAACATAAGGTGTAATAATAATTTTTTTTTTCTATATATTCTCTTACTTGCTATAATTTTTAGATATGTTTCCCTTAAGGTATATATTTTTATTTTTAAGATGATCAAGGGTACAACAGTAAATTTAAGTATTAATTTTCTTATTTTGCAGCTAAGCATGATCCTCAACGAATCCCTACGGCTATACCCACCAATAGTGGCGACAATCAGACGGGCGAGGGCTGACGTGGAACTTGGAGGGTACAAGATCCCCTCCGGCACGGAGCTCCTGATTCCGATCCTCGCCGTCCATCACGATCAAGCGATCTGGGGCAACGACGCAAACGAATTTAATCCGGCTCGGTTCGCGGATGGCATGGCTCGTGCAGCCAAGCACCCGCTAGGGTTCATGCCATTCGGAGTCGGGGTCCGAACATGTATCGGGCAAAACCTAGCCATGCTCCATGCGAAACTCACGCTCGCAATCTTGATCCAACGGTTCACATTCCATCTGGCCCCCAGTTATCAGCACGCACCAACGGTCTTGATGTTGTTATACCCTCAGCATGGTGCACCAGTCATATTCCGCAGATCGGACGGTCAAGATTATCGTTAAAAGATCAACGGTCCTGATTTCATCATATGGTTCCAACATTTCTAAAGGGTTTGACCGAATTACCCTTTGCAGCCTTGCAAAAAACAAAATAAAAATAAAAATTTACAAGGCTTTGCTAACTGACTTGCGTTACATGTTCATGGTCATTTTTTCACCTCTCTATATAAAATTTAATTTGGCATGTAATTGCTATTTTTTTCTTCTTTTATTTTTTTTTATCTTCTATATTTTGGTTTTTGCTTTGAAGCTTTGTAGTAGTGGTGCTAACAAGTAGGTTGCATTTTTGCTCTTTTGATTTCCCCTTTGTGTGTATGTAATGTATATGTGCATAATGTTTACACAATTTTGCAAATATTTTGGAGTTCGAGGAAATTATATTCTCTTTCTTTTTCTCTTCCTCTTAAACGTATTTGATTTATTTTTAGATTTTTTTTTTGGCTATTTTAGTAATATAAATATTAATATTGAAGAATAAAAAAACACTGAGTAGTAAGAATAATTGAAAGAGATCGAACTTTAAAGATGAATTTGTAACAGATTATTTTATATCTTCTGATTTCAATTTTTCATTTAGATTGATAGATTTTTTTATTTTAATATGTATATTTATACTTAGATAATGAATAAAATCATTTCAAATAAAATTCTTTTAAAATATATATAAAAGGACAATGAGCGGAATAACTCATATTTTTTAATCCCTTTGGAAGACGTGATACAATTTAACCTGTTAATTAAGGCTACGTAGTAATGTTTTACTATCGTTGAGTACTATAGTATTTTATTCTTTTGAGTATAATATATATTAATTATCAATCAACATGTACTGATGTACACCTAATATTAGCTTGACAAAATGTTATTTTATTTTGAAGCAAATAATTTAAGTGAAATCAACGAGCAATAATTCATTACTATATGTGGTTCTAAGACAATGCTAAACTTTAAATTTAGCCTCAAGTCTATAGTTTATCTACTTAAAAAAAAAAATTACATGTGGGAAATAGTTTTGTTCTTGGTCCGTGACTTGTTAAATGATGTAAGCAATCAAATGGTGTAATATCCCATGATACCGTAGGAGGATGGGGAGTGATCGCCGGTGGGAGAGGTATGGACAAGGGGCAGTTCCTGACGAGTTTCTGAATAGGGGTACAGGGATGAATCGGACGCACCGGAATGAGAGAGATCTGAGGGCTGTGTAGGTATGAGACTACACAGTCTAAAATAACTTAAATGAATTAATTGAGCTACTCATAGCAACAAGATGCATCTACCTTTTTTGTTGCCCATATCGAGAGAACTCCAAAGTTAAGCGTGCTAGCCTTGGAGTAGTCTTATGATGGGTGACCTCCTGGGAAGTAATTTCTGGGATGTGTGCGAGTGAGGACAAAACACGCTAAAATGTCTTGTATTGGTGTGTGGGGACAACTTTATCATTCTGTAACGGCCTCGGATCGTTACAAATGGTATCAGAGCGGTATTCTCCCAATACGGTGTGGTTCAAGGACGAACTAGGCGGAAGTTGGTGGGCCTGTGACATCCCAGGATACTGTAAGAGGGTGAGGAGTGATCGCCGGTGTGAGAGGTATGGACAAGGGGCGGCTCCTGACGAGTTTCTAGCTAGGGGGTACAGGGATGAATCGGACGCACCAGAATGAGAGGGATCCGAGGGCTGTGTAGGTATGGGACTACACTGTCTAAAATAATTTAAATGAATAAATTTGAGCTACTTATAACAACAAGATATATCTACATTTTCGGTTGCCCATATCGAGAGAACTCCAAAATTAAGCATGCTGGCCTTGGAGTAGTCTTAGGATGAGTGACCTTCTGGGAAGTACTTTCCGAGATGTGTGCAAGTGAGGACAAAACACGCTAAAAGGTCTCGTGTTAGTGTATGGAGACTGTTCTATCAGCTGATCGGTACAAATGTCATTTTTCATGTACAATTAATAAATATATGTTTATATACACATACACAACCATTTCTCATTACATAATACATATGATTACAAATTGTTCACAAAAACGTACAATTACACAAGCCAAATTTCAGAATAGAATAAAACCGAATAATATCCAAAATAATTATTTGTAATTTATTAAAACAAAATATCCACGAAATTATCTTGAACTAAAAAATGAGAAAGTTTCTACACTTAATTAGGAATTATCTTGTAATAATTGCAGTGTTTAATTAACGAGAATATTCAAGTGAAATTAGTGAGTTGTTGGCCATTCATAATGATTAATTTCTATATGTCGAATAAATTTTTAGATATACATAATATAACATGTAATAACGTATGATTTGTATGACATCTTTGTGCATGTATATGTATAAAACGATAAATGCATATATAAAAAAAAAAAACTCAACCTTGAATAAAGACGAAAAAACGTAGGAATTGAGACAGGGGTTTCTTTTAGGTAATAGAAAAAGCTAAAAACTTCCATCAAACATGCAGAGATTAGCGTACTCTCAGCCTTTATTATTCGCCAATTTAATCAATATATGATTTATTAAATTTTTAGTTATTTATTTATTTATTTATTAATATCGGTTTCTCGAAAATAATAATAATAATAATGGGAACTAGTTAAAGGTTTGTGAAGCTCGATGAAGCCTTTTCTTTTTTTTTTTGTTAGGTTTGTAAGTAACTTCGTGTTAAAGCTTTTGCACAATCTCAAGACATTGTTTTGCGGATCACTTCCACTACTGTCTTCTTGCCACAGGCATTTCTCATAGTATTTCTTTTCATTAAAAATATTAAAATTAGCTTATAGTAAATTCAATATTTTAAAAATAATTTATATGATGTGGGAATTAAATCAAATAACATTTGTGATTCAGTTTCAATTTTTGGTGATATATTAATTTTATATCATTTATTTATTAAAATATGAATAATTGACATAAAAATTCAACCAAAAAAAAAAAACCAGAAACACAAATTTAGTAATTGCCTATAAAATCACCTCTTTCCAGATTTATTTTTAATAAAGTTGTGCTACGGTTAATTGGTAAAAAGACTCTTGCTATTTACAAAAAATATTATCAAAACTCAATTCAATTTTTAATAGCTAATTATCTATCAAAGATCTAATTTAATATCCATAAAACTTGAATTACACAAATAGTATAATTATATCATTTAAAACCGGTTAAATAACATCATGAATAAAAAAGTGCAAAAGTATAAGGACAAAAAGCAGAAAAGACAATCTATTAAATATTGAAGCTAAAATGGTTGCTCAATGTGATAGAGCTATGGATCATTATTCTGTTGAAATTGGTCCATAATATTTCTCTATGATTTGATTTTGAGAACTCTCGAAGCAATATAGTGTATTCGACATAATTGTAAAATTATTTTATATCTATTAAAATTTACAAAATTATCTTGAATCTTTTTTTGAAATTGTATTTGATTTTATTTGAAGTATAAAAATAATTCTAATATTTATTACAAATTAATCATTTTTTTTAATATAATTCGGATATCCGGATACGCGACATTCGTGATACGAAATCGGATTCGAGTAGTGTCAAACCATACTTGGTGATATTAACTCTAATTTTGTTCGAGTTTTAATTTGAATTTTCTGTCATTTGAATTTCATATAATAAAAATAATATAATTTTGAGCGGTGAAAATTTATTATTATTATTGGTGTCGTTGTTGTTGTTGTTTTTAGTGTTATTATTATTATTATTAACTGAACTAAGGAATGACTTAATTATAATAGACCCACATAGTAATAATTTATAATTTGACAAAGTATAAAATATAAATTAAATAATAAGAGATATATCTAGATGTATATTATTAGAATAAAATATAAGAAAAACAAAAATCTAAGATTAGTGTTTGTTTTTTAAAATGAGTCGTCCCCAGTCCGCTTTGCCCATCGATGAAGGAATCACATGAACCTCTGTTCTTCAAAGGCTCGTTGTATAGTGCTGGATCTATCAACCGAGCCATGACCGGAGCAGAAACAGAACACTCCTCTCCGAAATCATAGTGTAGGTCGTCACATATAAATTATGGTGTGAGCGTAGCAGTTCGTGCCACCGGTCCGATTGTAGCTCGGAACAGATTCGCCGGAAAATTGATCGTAGAGTGCGAAACATCATTCTGTCCAAGCAAGAACAGCCGCCAACGTCTACCAACCCGATTCTTGAACATCGGTTTCATCTTACCCTAGATAACTCTACTTATTACATTCTTTGTAATGGAGAAATGCTTTCATATTGAACATTGACCGCTATCAAGAGATATAGAGAAAATGACGTAATATTACGATTTAATTTTATCTGTGTATTTTAGGTATGGAGAAGATTTGAGAACGATTTATTGCCTATGGACATCTATTAGGTTTTTGCATATATTTTCCATCATATATCTTCTTGTTAAGTTGGACGTTCAAATCCTACACGCTTCAACTTGTATATATAAATCTCTTAGATTTAAAATATATTAATATCTATACATACTCTATACAAAAAAAAATCTTCGTGATTTTTCAAAATCATTAGGTTACTTCAACTCTAAGAAAAGCAGAATTTTAGGTTTCCGCATAAACTTTCTTGTCTTACAAGAAACCTCATAATTTTTTTTGTTTGATAATACGAAAATTCACCATACATTTGACCCAATTACATATGGAGTAAACAGAAATTCAGAAATCAACGAGATTCAGAATGGACGTGAATCTCTTTAAAGTGGATTTTTGGATGAAAGGTCGTTCACCGGTGCTAATATGGGTGTTACAGGGCCGTCTTTTAACGTGTTTAATAGGTGCGATTGTACAGATTCCAAAATTTAGGGAGCCCCACTTAATTTAAAAAATACTAATAATATATATTACTAAAGGTAATTATTAGTAGAAGAATAACAACTTTTTGCCGTTAACCATTTTTAATTAAATAAATTATTAATAATTACGAGTCGTCACTTCAAAAAAGTATTTATAAAAATAACACTAGATTTTTTTGGATTTGACTGAAATGTTGGTAGATTTTGATCCAATTATTCAAGAACATTTGAAACATATTATACAAATGATGAAATTCATCATCATTTTCTTGGTCATAATATTCAAATTGAACTATTTCTTTTACTTGATTTTACAATTAAAAATGAGATAACTAGAAATGTAAAGCAAACAAAATATTTTCTACTATACTTGATTGTACTCCAAATAAAAGCTACAAAAAAATAAATGTCTTTGTTAATCAAGTATGTGAATATCTTTTCTGATCCTATTAAGATTGAAGAATAATTTTACGATTTTTAAATATGAATGACACCAACTGGATATAGATTTTTGATGGGTTTAAGAGGACAAGGTTATGACAACGAATGAAATAT